GTGGGTAGTTACTAAAATCCTAGGAGGTTTTTTTTTTTTTTTTTTTTAAGATTTTATTTATTTATTTGACAGAGAAATCACAAGTAGGCAGAGCAGGAGGCGGGGGTGGGGGGGAAGCAGGCTCCCTGCCGAGCTGAGAGCCTGATGCAGGGCTCGATCCCAGGACCCTGAGATCATAACCTGAGCTGAAAGCAGAGGCTTAACCCACTGAGGCACCCAGGTGCCCCATCTTCCTGGAGTTTTATAGCTGTAGCTCTTACTTTAAATCTTTGATGTGTTTTCTTTATTTATTTATTTATTTATTTATTTATTTATTTATTTATTTTTTTGGAGAGCAAGAGCACAAGTGGTTGGAGAGGTGGAGGAGCAGAGGGAGAGGAAGAGAAAGAATCTAGAAGTAGACTCCATGCCTAGTGTGGAGCCCAATGCAGGGTTTGATCTCATGACTCTCAGATCATGACCTGAGCCAAAATCAGGAGTCAAACACTTAGCCAACTAAGCCATCCAGGCACCTGTCTTTGATGCTATTTGAATTAATTTTTGTGTATAGTATGTGGTAAGGGTCCAACTTCATTCCTTTACAAGTGAATATCTAATTTTTCTGGCATTATTTTTTTTTTAAGAATTTATTTATTTATTTGACAGAGAGAAATCACAAGTAGGCAGAGAGGCAGGCAGAGAGTGGAGGGAAGCAGGCTACCCGCCGAGCAGAGAGCCCAATGCGGGGCTCGATCCCAGGACCTTGAGATCATGACCCGAGCCAAAGGCAGAGGCCCTAATCCACTGAGCCACCCAGGCACCCCCTGGCATTATTTTTTTAAGAGACTGTTCATTGAATGGTCTAGATGTTCTTGTTTAAAAATAAGTTGATTATACGTGTAAAGATTTATTTCTGGGCTTTCAGTTCTGTTCATTGGTCTGTATGTCTCTTCTTATATCAGTACCATACTGTTTTGATTATTGTAACTTTGTAGTAAGTTTTGAAATGCAAAAGTGTGTGTTCTTCACCTATGTTCTTTTCAAGATTCTTTTGGCTATTCTTGAAATTCCATATGAATTTTAGGGTTAGTTTTTCCATGTTTTTCAGAAATATTGGAGTTTTGAATCTCTAAACTCCTTTGGGTAGCATTGTCACCTTAATGATAGTCTCTGATCTAAGAACACAAAGTCTTGTTCCATTTATTTATGCTTTTAAAAATTTCTTTAAACATTGTTTTGTAGTTTCCTGTGTATAGTGTTTTTGCTTCTTTGGTTAAGTTTAAACTTGAGTATTTTATACTTTTTGATGCTATTATAAGTGGAATTGTTTTCTTAATTTTCTTTTCAGGTCATTTATTGCTAGTGTGTAGAAATGCAGCTGATTTTTGTGTGTTGGTTTTGTGTCTTTAAGCTTTGTTGAATTAGTTTATTAGTTCTAATACTCTTTTGTGGACTTGAGATCAAATAATCTCAATAGAGATAGTTCTGCCTTTTTTTTTTCCTTTCCTAATTTGTAGACCTTTTATTTCTTTTGGCTTGAACACCCAATAGTATGCCGAATTATCTTTGTCATATTACTTTAGGTGGAAAGGTTTTAGTCTTTCATAATTGAGTATGATGTTAGCTGTGAGTTTTCCATAAATGTTTTTTAACATGTTGAGGAAGTTTCTTTCTATTCCTGGTATATTGAGTGTTTTTATTATGGGAGAGTGTTGGATTTTGTCAAATGCTTTTCTGTGTCAGTTATCCTGTAGGACTTACCCTTCATTCTATTACTAAGGTGTATTACACTAACTGATTTTCATTTGTTGAACCACCCTTGCATTCTAAGACTATATCCCACTTGGGCATGGTGTATTGTTCCTTTAACACGCTGCTGAATTTGGTTTGTTAGTAATTCTAAGATTTTTGCATCTTTATTTATAAAGGGGTATTGGTCTATTGTGTCTTCTTATAATAGCTATAGTTTAAAGCTTTTATTTAAATTCCAGTTAGTTAACACAGTGTAATATTAGTTTCAGAATCAATTTAGCGATTCAGCACTTCCATACAATACCTGGTGCTCATCACAAGTGCACTCCATAATCCCCATCACCTATTTGACCCATCCCCCATGCATATCCCCTCTGGTAATCATCAGTTTGTTCTCTATAGTTAGTCTGTTTCTTGTTTTGCCTTATTCTCTCCCCACCACCCTGACCCTTTGCTTGTTTGTTTTGTTTCTTAAATTCTACATATGAATGAAATCCTATGGTATTTGTCTTTCTCTGACTGACTTTGCTTAGCATAGCACTCTATTGCTTCATCCATATCATTGCAGATTTCATTCTTTTTTATGGCTGAGTAATCTACACACACTATATCTTCTTTACCCATTCATCACTCAATGGACATTTTATCTGTTTCCATAATTTGACTTTTGTAGATAATACTGCTGTAAACATTGGGGTGTATGTGCCCCCTCGAATCACTATGTTTATG